GATCCTGTTATTACTAAAATGGAAAAAAATTTATTTATACTACAGTCATTAAAAAAAGTTTTAATGTTTTAAGTTGGAAAACCAGTTAAAGAAAAGAAGAAATATCATGTTCCTTATCATAAAGAAAACAATGTTCAGAACATTGCTATTAGTATTTCAGGAGAAAACAAATCTGTTTCATAGTGTTCTGGCAGAAGTGATAAAACATGAAATTAAAAGAGGCTCTCTGTATGTTCAAGATAAAGTCAGTCTTCCTTCTTATATAGAATAAAATAGCTCAAAACTTTAGGAAGAGAAATGAAATAAAACAAAACGTATAAAAAGACAAGCACTTCTAGTTTTGGCAACAGATTTGAAAACTCTCCGCTCCCCATGCCAAGTGAGGTACTATAGCTGTTCCTGCCATCTTGCTAGAAATGAAACAGTGTGTCATCTGTAGATTGAGTCCCTTTCTTGGCTATGAGGCTGATCTTAAGATATCTGTCATAAACAGTGACTGCTATCACTTCCCCTCTAGAGAAATCAGCTGTTTGGAGTTTTTTTGGTTTGGGTCAAAAGCACTTCTACAAAAAGCTCTCTCAAACCCACATGAAATCTATAAATGACAGTGATTGGCAAGAAAAGGCATATAAAATCTCATGTAAACAATTTCAGAGAGAATCTCAATATAAGAATGTTGTAGGGTATATTTCCGTAGGTATCTAGACACTCTCCCTCCTTTTATCCTTCTGTGGATTATAATTTATCATAGTTTCAGAAAAGCATATAGCTGAACAATAAAACTAGCACCAAATGCTATGGTACTGTGTCTAATTGACTTATTTAAGCAAATAGGGCATACAGTGAACATAATACAAATTGCAGGAAACAACAGCTATAAATGTTGCATTTTAAAGATGAAATGAGATTATGAACAAAACACAACAGAAGTTAATGGTAAAATTTCAGCTTCTTAATGTAAATGACTTGGAAAGGTACTATTGACTCATTCTGAAAATATTAAAAGTAAAACTAACAAAAATAAAAACCCAAAGCTATTCATAGAGGTTAGGCAAAGATTCTTACATATGACATCAAAAGATGGTAAAAAAAAAAAAAAAATTAATTGGACTATACCAAAATTAAGAATATCCACTCTTCAGAAAACATAAAATGAGAAGACAAGCCACATACTGGGAGAAAATATTTGCAAGTCATATATCTGGTAAAGGATTTATACGAATATATAAAGAAATCTCAGAACTCAATATTACAACAACCCAATTTTTAAAATGTTCAAATGGCTGGGTGCAGTCACTCACACCTATAGTCCCAGTACTTTGGCGGGGGACAAGGTGGGAGGATCGCTTGAGGCCAGGAGTTTAAGACCCAGCGTGGGCAACATAGCAAGACCCCATCTCCACAAAAAATTTAGAAATAAGTTGGGCATGGTGGTGGATACCTACTCAGGAAGCTAAGGCAGGAGGATTTGCTTTGAACCCAGGACTTCAAGGTTGCAGTGAGCTATAATTGAGCCACTGCATTCCAGCCTGGGCAACAGAGTGAGACTCCATCTCTCAAAATAATATATATACATTGGAGGTGGAATAGTCAACTGTATCAAGCTACAGAGAAGAAGACAACTAGGACTCAGAATTGACCTCTTGATATATCAAGATGAAGGTTGTTGGAGACCTAGATGTGGAATGGTGGATACAAAAACATGAATAGAATTGATTATAAGAGAATGGGAGGTCAACTTTTTAAAAACCCTGTCTCTCAAAACCAAAAACAAACAAACAAAGATCCTATAAAACAAAACTCCTGAAGGCTATAAAAGACGACTTGAATGGAAAAACATACCATACTGTCTGGGATAGGAAGACTCAACTCTGTGCCCTGCAGACATTTATTATTTTTAATAAATATAGAAGAAATCATTTTCAAAGCTGAACTGTACTTCTGTGTCCCCTCAGGAGGAGCAAAAATCAAAGCCCAGGGCCTCTAGAAATGAGATCTCTGATAAATTACCTCCCATTAAGCGGACACACTGAAAGAAAAGGTGGAGCCATGTATATTACAGTTCTCTCATAAACTTGCATCCTGCTTGGCCTTGTGTCCTATTAATGGCCCAGCTGATTAAGTGGTCAAACCTGGATTCAGATATGTAGACTGGTAATGCCCCCACATCTCTGGAAAGAACAAAAATCCTCTCTTGAAGATATTTTCCTAGGCTTAAAATGAATCACAATTTTTTTTACATATATGTAAATATCCTAAATATAACCAGGTTTATACGCATGTGGCACCAATAGCAAAAAGCAGCAGAACCAACAGACAGCAGAAGAGAGTATTGAAATGCTGGAATTATCAGAGAGCAGACCCATCTATCTTGCTTACTAAGTTGAAAAACTAAAAGCAAAGATCAGGACATAATGGTAGGAGACTGGAAACTATAAAAAATGATAAAGTTTGAAAAGGAGCTAAATAGATATTTTAGAATCAGAAAATAAAATACCTGAAGTTAGTTCAGTGTGCAAGCTTAAAAGAAGATTAGACAAAGCCAAAGTAAGCATTAATGAACTGGAAGATAGCGCTCAGAAGTTATGCAAGAAGTTGCAGAGAAGAGGAAAAATTATGGAAAATACTATAAAGAAGAAAAGGGTAAAACTCAGAGGATACAGTGAGAAGATTTCATCTACGTTTGATTGGAGCCTCAGAAAGAAAAGGAGTAAAAGAAAGGCTAAAGGAAATATGTGAAAGATAGTCAAATAAGCCAATGGAACAGAAAAGAATCCCAAAACAGATCCATGAATACTTGATTTATGACAAACATGGCACTGTAGAATAATGTGGAATGGTTGATGTTTTCTGTAATTGGTACTTGGACAATTGGGTATTCCTACAGAATAAAACAATGAAATTACCCCATTGTCATAAACAAAATCAATTACATTTGGATTGAAGACCTAAATGTGAAGGGCAAAACAGTAAGGCATTTAAAGAATAATGTAAAATATCTCTTAACAGTTGAGTAGAGGGAGAATTGCTTTAACATTATGCAAAATGACTAGATTACAATTAAGAACTTATGTTAAGCAAAAAACAGTGTTAAGGGAGTCAGAGAAGGGAAAAGTAATTTGCACTACAACCTACAAAAGACTTTTATCTAAAATGTTAACAAACCTGTCAGTCAATGAGAAAAAGACCAGCCCCATAGAAAATGGGCAAAAATATTTAACACTTCACTAAAGATGAAACCCAAATGATTAAAGGTATTTAACCTCATTAATAAGCAAAGAACTTGATATTTATTCTAGCTTTGTTACAATAGCAAATTTTATAAGCAATCTAAATACTAATAGTAGGGAATCAGCTAAAAGTTAGTAGTTGTGTATGGATGATGGTACTTGGAATGATTTTAATCATGTATCTTTTTTACTTATTTGTATTTTTCAGTGTTTCTAAATAGAGCATATACTTTGTTGTATAATTGATAAAATAGGATGTATGAACATAGGGCATTATAACCATTTTTCTGTTGTGGGAGTAAATTTTCTACTTTTTATTAAAATTTTTGATAGATGAACCACCTAATGTTAAGAATGTGTATTCATGCACATAGGCATGGAGTATGTGCTGTAACAATATAGAAAGAATGTGGAATAGTGTTAGTATTCTAAAGGTACAGTTCAGGACTAAGTGACTGTCATCCTTTCATTTTATTTTCACTTAAATGGGTCCTTTAATTTTTTCTGCTTTTTTATTACAATACCTAATTGCTGCCTCCTTTTAATATTTCTTCTACCTGCTTTCCATTCTGCTTTTAGAATGCTTAAATGTCCTTAATATTTGTTTCCTTTTTTGTTAACATTTTGAATTTAAATGTATAGAGAGTTCAGTGCTTTACAAAGGTAAACTGTATCACAAGAATGAAATTCATTTTGATACCTTTAGGGTCTTACCTTAAGATTTTATTCCAATTTTGGACTTTTTCACAGAAAAAGATGAGCTCTTTCTAAAGTACCCTAGTATATCAATATGTTATTTGAAAAATGACATAAAGGCATGTGACATAAAGGCATGTGAGTTTTAATAAGAGCTTTGTTTTCTGGCTTTTCTATGTCATATCAAAGAGTGACTATGTTTTTGTTTTTTATTTTGGATAGGATGTTGACAAATTTTTAAAAATGTTAGGTGAGGCAAGGCGTCCCTGGGTCAGATTGGCCGAGACCCAAGGTCAGCAGAACGGGAGCCCATTGCTTGTTCCCACAATTAGCAGGACATGGCTTGTTGACTGGCTGAAAGAACTGTTTCTCTGGGCAAATGGCCAAGAACCTGCGGTCTTGCATGTGAGCCAAAGTTGTCTGGTATCCTGCACGCGATGCCAGGCGCTGCAGGATGGCCAAGGGCTTGTGGTCTTGCACTCGAGCCGAGATTTTTTGTTATCTGCAAGCAGTATCAGACATCAAAGAGGCACCGTCTTGTAGAAGGCCATACTTTTTTGCTTTGACTGGAGAAGCAGGTGTTGTTGGCCATGGGAAGTCATGTACCAAAAAGTAGCTGGGAAAATAGCTAGCATGAGAAAATAGCTGCAGGACGCTTGCCCAATTAAACTGTATATAAATAAAACGACTGGCACCTTACAGTGCTGCAGTCTTTACTGTGTCTCGTGTCTGTGTACTTTATTTTCTGGGACTGCAGCCGACTCTGTCTGTTTGTGTCTTATGTCTATGTGCTATGTGTTCATCCCCTGTCCTGCAATTGGGCCACGACCATTAGGTGCTGTGTTTTGCTGCAACTTCCAAGAAGCTTAGAGATAAATTTAGGGTTCATTGTGCTAGTTAGCTCATGTGTACTTGTCTGTTTTAACTTACAATTGTCTTTAGATCATTATTTTCCTTTTTATCCTTTTTGAAAGTAGAGATAAAAATGTGAATTGATATGTATATCAATATATATGCACATAAACATAAATACATCCACACATACCGTGTAAACATGTTTTGAATTTCTTTTAGCCAGCAAATGGAATCTTCTTGAGCATGTTTCTAATTGTTTTGCCATTGGAATCTATGGCTCATGGGCTCTTCCATGAGTTGGGTAACTGTTTAGGAGGAACATCTGTTGGATATGCTATTGTGATTCCCACCAACTTCTGCAGGTACAGTAATCTAGTATAGTTAATAATTACCTGATTTATAACATTTTCTTAATATTTATATGAATATAGATATAAAATAACTTTTCAAAACTATATTTTCAAAACATAACTGTTGTATTTCTTTATTCCAAATTTTTAGAAATCTACTCCAAGTGATAATATAATATTCAGGGTTCACTTTAAATATTTTGATAAATATGATTAAGTTATATATTAGTTAGAAATCAGAAAATATGAGTAAGTTTTCTAAGGAAAGGTCCTACCCTAAAGGAAGTAGCGTAAGAAAATGTTCTGTGGAACAACATATTGAAATATAATAGAATGTGCACTGGGCCTTAGAGGCCAGAATTCTGTGTTACCTTAGGCAAATTTTAACTCTGAACCTCAGTGTCTTTATTTAAAATGTACATGGTAATACCTATTCTGCTCATCTCAGGAATTTTATGAAGAGCTAATAAGAAAATATGAGTGGAAAAACATTCTGCAAACTGAAAAATGCCATACAAATACCAGGAATTAAAAAAATTGGCAGAAGTTTAATAAATATTTGATTGAAGTTTTATTCCAAAATAATTTTTACCCCCAAATGTGTGAGACAAATGTATAAATGTATAATTATTGCTACATTTTTATTTTTATTTTGTAGCTAAATACCTTTAAAATAGAAAACAAAAAGACAGTCCTTTGCTGTTAATGAATTTTGACGACCAAGTTTTCATTGTACTTTCTTTTGAGGGTAGATCCTCAATATCAAAAATTTTTATCTGATTTCAAATATTTAACATAAAACCCCCAAAATAGAATATTTGTAGGAAATATTTTTCTCCATGTTAAAGGCTTGATTAATAAGTTGAAAGTTTTCATGAGAAGTGAAAGAAACAGATTTGGAAGGGTCCCCTAAAGTCAGATGTGACAACTCTAAGAAAGAATGCGTGGGAATAGTAATATTCAGTTAGATTTTTACTCCATTATAGTTTTTTTTTTATGTATTGCTTATTCTTTTACTTTTTTGTGACTGTTAAATGTCACAAGTATAGAACAAAATGTTTTAATGAAAACCACCAAAGTATTTTTTAGAATAGGATTGATGATACATGAAGCAAAATCTAAAGTTTTCAAAATTCCTGATAGAAATCCCTTTGCTAGGTAGGAGTGATGATTTTTTTCCCCTCAATATTGATGTTATTTTGTTAGTTACAAGACTTGGTTATCGTCTTTACCATTTTTCATTTGTCCCAGGATCAGATCTAGGTCTTCAGTTAGTGTTGAATAATATAAGGCAATGGACCTAAATTTTAATAACTGTTTTTAAATGTCATTAATAATTTCTTCTATCATTTCTTCTATGATACTTGAGGTATCATTTAACCTCTAGTAAAACTTGAACCCAACTTTATAAAGACTGTATTTTTCAATACATAAGTTAAATATATAATTAAAATATTGCTTTCATATTTTGTATGGTAAAATTTTTTTCTCAAGAATAAAAAGTTATTTCTTTATAGTCCCACCCAGATTTTCTTTAAACTATAAATCCTACTTCTGCTTTTAGAAGTCTTGTCCAATATCTGTCATTTAGTAAAAAAATATATAAGAATAGAACTGTCTCTACATTTGGATATATTGTCCCAGATTTTAGTTTGGTTATTGTTTTAATGATAGGAAATACAATTTTTAGAAACCAGGTCTTGATTTTCTAAGCTTAATTTTTAGCACTATAGGAATTTAGAAAATATTTTTTAAAATTCTGCTATGTAGTTAGCAACTGTTGTGATTATTAATCAATTAGAAATTATAGATGAGAATGTGACGTAGAATGAATACTTCTTAAACACCAAAATAATTATTTTTTCTCCTACTTCAGTCCTGATGGTCAGCCAACATTACTTCCACCAGAACATGTACAGGAGTTAAATTTGAGGTCTACTGGCATGCTCAACGCTATCCAAAGATTTTTTGCGTATCATATGATTGAGACCTATGGATGTGACTATTCCACAAGTGGACTGTCGTTTGATACTCTACATTCCAAACTGAAAGCTTTCCTTGAACTTCGGACTGTGGATGGACCAAGACATGATACATATGTTTTGTATTACAGTGGACACACCCACGGAACAGGAGAGTGGGCTCTAGCAGGTAAATTCACCTTTGACAGTTTCACTATTGTGAAGATACACATATTGATGGAAATCTGTTATTCACACAGAGACATTACATTTCTAGGATTCTTAATTTTTTCCATTTCATAGTTTACCAACTATACATATAACTATTGTTTTTCTTTTCTTTAGCATACCTGTTTAGCATAATTTTAATAATCTCTAATAAGGTTTTGAGAATTATGTCTTCTAGACATAATTAGAAAAAAAATTGATTTCAGACTGAATCAGTTTCCCTTTAAAGTATTTTCAGAATTATGAAATTTGTTTCAGATGCTGATAAACTTTTTTGACTAATATTTTTGTCTTTAAATGTTATGAATACAGATTTCAGTAGTCCTTCACATGTGTAGTTTTATTTACATTAGAAAGCTCAATATTTTTAACAGCAGGCAATGTGATGATAGTACTTAGTCAGGAGACCTTGTTTCTGGACCTAATTTGCTGCAACAGTGTTATTTTAGATAAGTGACTTAACTTCTTGTGGCTTTAATTTTCTCATCTGTAAAATGAGGCCGTAATATTAAATGGTCATTGAGTTTTATTCTAAGATATAAAATTCTGTAAGTTTTTTTTTTTTTGCATTTTTTGGATGCTTTTAGGCTGTTTAAAAAAAGACAACATAATTTTGGTTTACATGCATATGTGGAAAAAATACTTTCTTTCTCAAAAGTTACTGCCAAGAGAGAAATGATATCTCTCTATATAATATATAAATATGTCAGTCTTCTCAGCTATAATACAGACCCCATAAGTCTAGGGTTTTGTTTTATAAATTGTTATTTGCTTAGGACCTATCACACACATAGTAGGGGATCCTTGGGTAACTGATAGGTAGATGAAGACATTGAATGAATCATGAAAAAACAAAGCAATTTTTCTTATTTTAGATTGAAATAGTTCTTTTAGATTTAACTATAGCCTGCTTTTTTTTTTCATGAAAGATTTTAGATGTTTCAAACCAAGAACACACACAGTAACATCATAAAGTATAAGTGGAAATGTAGATTCAAGTCAAAGAAAAAGATAAACAGAAGTAGTATAGAAAAACACAAGCAAAGCTGTTACTACAAGAAGTCCAGGAGGAAACAAACTCAAGGTTAAAGTAAAGATGATTTGAAGTCAGCGTGATCTCACAAATTTCATGCCAGATTTGTAACTGGGGTTTTATTATAAAGAGAAATACTTTTTTGAAATTTTTCATTTTTGCAAATAAATATTCAGTATCTCAGTGATTGTCTAGAAAGAGTGAAGGTGAACATTTATTGGGCATATTTTAAGCATTAGCTATTGTGCTTAGTACTTTACATATGTTGTTATTAATAGATATAATCTTTATGTGAAATCCTTTGAGATAGATACCATCACTTCTGTTAACCTTCATTTTTCAAAGCATGAAATGGAAGCTGAAAGTGGTTATTTAGCTTATCTATGATGATACACTAAGTGATAGAACCATGATTCAAGCCTCCCTATGCCTGACCCGTAAAATGTATTTTTCCCCCATGTTGTCTCCAAGGGTAAAAGCCAGGATCATAGAGAAATGGCATGTTCTGGTTAAGTAGATATATTTGTTAGCATCAATCAGCCATTTCTAAAAAATTAGAATTGTAAAAAAGTACTCAACACTAAAACTACTCAAACATAGTTTATAAAAAAACTATTTACTTGACTTATAACTGTTTAATCACAATGTAGAAAATGACTTTTTAACCTTTATGGCTACTTTAATTCCATGTAAAGTGTAGCATACTGTGTATACTAACTCTCAGAGCACAAGAGAAAAAGTTTTAGTCAATTCAAAAAGCTTTACAGAAATAGAATTTTAGACCTAAAAGCAGAGACTGATTATGGAAACTTAATGCAATGCTTAAAACAACTCTCCCTAGATCAAATGAGGAAAAAAGGATACTTTTGGTAGATATAATACTTAAAAGTAACATGGGATATATGCATAAGAAATTTTAAGAGGAAGCTTTTTGTGTATTTTTACATGAAGGATTTATTACCTAATATAAACATTTTTCAAGAAGTTTACATTTTGCATTTTTCTTGTTAAATATTTTAAAATTTATTTCAAGTATTTTTAAAAGATGCTTTTGGAAATAAATTCTAGATGTTCAGTTTACTAATATATCACCTTTCTCTTTTTCTAGGAAAAGTAAGACACTAAGATAAACAGTATATAAATCAGTGTTTTAAATTTTTATTTATCATGAGTTAGGAATCATTTTTGAAGACCTGTTATATTTAGATAAATGTTTAACAGATATATTCTGGAATGATATCTTTATAATTTTTTTTAAGTATGCTACTAATAAATTGACCATACAGAATTCCTCTATTAACCAGGATTTGTTCCTGTGTAACTTTATCAGAGATTTTATTATAAAAGTAAAATATGAATAAATAATGGAGAAAGCATAGCTTCACACTGCCTTCCCCTTCCTGAGAAGCAGTAGGTTTTATCTCATAATTCAGCAATTATATACTGTCCTGGCCTGAGGCACCTGGCTTACTTGCAGGTAACCAAGTTGAACCAGGACCAGAAGGCTTCTTTTCAGTTAGTTCATAGTCTGGACTGCGTCAGACATAGGATTCTGTCTCAGAAATAGTATTGAACACCCTGCCCTGAGGAAAATGCTTTAATCTATTCCAAATGAAGTGACTAAGAGCTTTAAGCTCTGCACATTTATTAATAGTCATCTTTCTACCAACCTTTGAAATAGGAAATGTCATGACTGGGTTTTACTTGAGTTAGCAAGTTAAAAACAGGTCCAGAATTAATTATCACTGTGGGAAAAAGAATCTATCTTTGCCCCCCATGCCATAGTACTTAGAATATGTAGTCTTCTTACATTTATTGGGTTTCATAATATGGAACCTGTATTTTTCCTCTTTGCTTGAGGGTAAAAAACAATTATGGTAATTACAAGAGAGACAGAAATAAATGAGAAAAATGTAGATAATCTATAAAGCAGTTTATCACAGATAAAGCCTTTAAAAAGCAGTCTCAATTACTTGAAATGCATCAGATGGCTGTTATCTGAGATAAATGTAAGCACTTTGCATCTGGGCCAAAAGCCAAATGCAGCATAGAACCTATTCATGGGAGAAGGCTGAGCTAAACAAGAGAAGAGAAATAGTTTAAAAGGCCTTAATGTTGCTTTAAGTCTTGTTGATTTCTAAAGAGCATTTATATAAGAGAATTAGGGAAGAACGTGCTAAAGAATATTTATTGAAATAGTTATGGATGGCATGTTGAGTAATGATGTTTTGTGACAGATGGCATTTGTATAATAGCCATTGTATAATTGGGAATTCCCTTGTATAATTGGCTGATGGGATTATAGACATGAGCCACCAATCATGGCCTAAAATTCCTTTGCTCTTATAATCTGTGTCATCCTCTGATCTCTCGAGAAATTTAATATACCTAGCAATAATGAGAGGTTGGCATTTGGCCATTTTTGAAAAAGTAGTATCTTCTGGAGGTATAAGTGAAGCAACACATTAGTAATATGTGGAGACCATATATTGAAATAGTGGCTCTGAGATGATATGCATGAGTGTTGGAGCAATTCATAAAACAAGGTGTTCATTTTCAGAGTTTTAAGATATAGTAGGCTGATGAATGAAAGAATATTAACTACACATAACTAATATGACATATTTTGGCTTTAGAGGTCATATTACTAATCAAATCCAATAAATTCTCTAGTGATATCATTTTGATGGTTTAACAAAGAGGACAATTGCTCCTGGTAGATATGTACATTCTGAAGTTAAGTTGTTGGATCTTGTGTTAGTGAAGTGTAGCATATTAAAACCTTTTCTAATTATAAAAATACATCCAATGTAAAAATTTTAGAAAAGTATTTTAAAAACCACCTGAAAATCAGACACCCAACAGTAGCTACTACTATAATTTTTGTAGATAATGCTTTTATGTCTTACTTTTTCCCCTAATATAGACATTTTCTCATTAAAATTTTCATTTTGTTTCTTTTGTTTGTTTTTGTTTTGAGATAGCCTCTCACTCTGTCATCCAGGCTGGAGTGCAGTAGTCTGATCATAGTTCACTGCAAACTCAAGCTCCTATGCTCAAGCAGTCCTTCTCAGTCTCCCCAGTAGCTAGGATTATAAGTTCATGCCACCACGCCTGGCTGGCTTATTTTTTAATTTTTTTGTAGAGCCAGGGTCTCGCTCTGTTGCTCAGGCTTGTCTTGAACTCTTTGGTCTCAGGCAATCCTCCCACTTCAGCCTCCCGAACTGATGGGATTATAGACATGAGCCACCAATCATGGCCTAAAATTCCTTTGTAAATATTGTATTATAAAATTCCCCCCTAAGGTTTTATGCCATGATTTATTTCTATTTCCTCTGTTTCAGATTTTACTGTACCTAGATAGCAGTGGGAAGATCTTTATATGTAATTTTTTGTTCCTACTTGTATGTTTTCCTTAGGGTAGATTCCTATAATTTGAATGATTGCATCAACATACCATCAATACAGGGCCAGGAATAGGGTGAGGTGAGAGTGGCAATTCCCTCAGACATAAAACTTAAGGGAGTGCTAAAAAACTCAATAATCAATATAAATAATATTTTAATGTAGCATACTTAAGAGTCAAAATTAATGCAAAAAACAATTCACAATGAACCAGATGTAAAACTTACTAGCTAGTTGTAAGATAGATTTCTAGGTCAGAAATTTATTTACTTTAGAACTTTTGGGGTATATTTTTAAAAATTATTTGCTGTTCTTCAGGTATAAAATTGATCTAAATATAAATCCATTCTTAAACTTATTCTTATATAGGTAAGAAGAGTGTTTTATTTGGTAGGTACCTACATATGAGAAGATTAAGGAAACATTGATTTATCAAGGGTTTAGAACAGGGGTCAGCAAACTTGTTCTGCACCAGGCCAAATATTTTTGGCTTTGTGGGCCATAAGATCCCTGTTGCAGTTACTCAGCTCTGCTATTGTAAAGTGAAAGCAGCCATAGACAGATTGTGAATGAATGAGAGTGGTTGTGTTCTAATAAAATGTTATTTGTGGAAATAATTATATGATATCTAAACATCATGTGATTTCACACATCACAAAATATTACTCTTCGCTTTTCTTTCAATCATGTGAAAACAAAGTCAATTCTTAGCTTTTAGGTCACATAAAAACAGGTGGCAGGCAGGATTTGACCCATTAGTCATCTTTACCTGCCCCTGCTGTAGAATGTTAGCTTTCCTGTATAATTGTTTTCACTAAATTTAAAATGTAAAACCATTTAATTTATACTAGCATATCCCTTTACGTAAGGAGGATTTTTTTTTTGCCTCAAGTTGAAAATTTGTTTTTTAAAATATCTTCTGAAAAGATACTTTGAAAGAATCTTTTGAACACTTTTTTTTTTGCTTATTCTAAGAATTTAATGAAAATATACTTAAAACAAGAGAAGCTCCAGAAATTATTGCTCTTGAATTTTCTCTTGTTCACAGGTGGAGACATACTACGCCTTGACACACTCTTAGAATGGTGGAGAGAAAAGAATGGTTCCTTCTGTTCCCGGCTTATCATCGTACTAGACAGTGAGAATTCAACCCCTTGGGTGAAAGAAGTGAGAAAAATTAATGACCAGTATATTGCAGTGCAAGGAGCGGAGATGGTAAAGACAGTAGATGTTGAAGAAGCTGACCCACCGCAGCTGGGTGACTTTACAAGAGACTGGGTAGAATATAACTGCAATTCCTGTAATAACATCTGCTGGACTGAGAAGGGACGCACAGTGAAAGCAGTATATGGTGTGTCAAAACGGTGGAGTGACTACACTCTGCATTTGCCAACAGGAAGCGACGTGGCCAAGCACTGGATGTTACACTTTCCTCGTATTACATATCCTGTGGTACATTTGGCAAATTGGTTATGTGGTTTGAACCTTTTTTGGATCTGCAAAACTTGTTTTAGGTGCCTGAAAAGATTAAAAATGAGTTGGTTTCTTCCTACTGTGCTGGACACAGGACAAGGCTTCAAACTTGTCAAATCTTAATTTGGACCCCAAAGTGGGACATTATTAAGAGTTCACACTACCAATTATCACTAACTTGCCATTTTTTGTATGCTGTGTTTTTATTTGTGAACTATATCTTGCTACTTCTGTAGCTGCTCTCACTTTGTCTTTTCTCAAGTAATTATGGTATATGTAAGGTGTTGGGAATAACCATTGTTTTATACTAAAAGTATATAAGAAGTCATAAATGCTGACTCTATAAATGCATAAGAGATGTTAAAAATAACAATGCACTTTCAGGAATGTTTGCATATGTCTGTGATTAGAAAGAAAACAGTTGTCTGTGCTCTACAGTGGCCAATGAAGAATGACTAATGCCTTATTTTCTAGGCATAGATTAGAGAATGTAGACCAGACAAATTTGTTTACTATTGGTAGAAAACTACCAATTTAATTAGAGAAGATTCTTTTTTCTAAACAGGTTTAATCCAAGACTATTTGAAGAACGATAAACTCTTTCTCCTTAGAAAAGAAAGAGGCCTGCCCAAAATGAATGCAAAATTTTCTTATACTCCATCATATGCAGATATCTTGGTGACCTATTACCAATGTAGCAGAGAAGCCCCAATTACTTTTTAGATCCAAACATTATATAGGTAGTTATAGAAGGTTAGGGCCTACAAGTTGCTCCTTAGTGCATTGATGAGGGCCCCTGAAAACACTGATAGTTTTAAAAGTCTTTCTCAAGGCAACTTGATGTTTTCGTAATGAACAATGTTTCCAGCTACAAATTCCTACCAAGCAAATTGTCTTCCTTTCCAAAAAGTACTCTTATAAAAGAAATTTAGCAATTTCTCATTGACTGACTCAGTCTATCTTAAGTATTCAGAAAAGATTTTGGTCTCTAGAGCTAATATTCTGCCAGGAAAATTATTTTTCAAATCCTCATTAGTGATAACATTTTTTTCTACTGAAAGTCAAAGACTAGGAAACAGGTCTTTTTTCTCTTGTATACATGTAATGTATTATGTAAAAAGGTATTCATATTGGCAATTTTAGTTAAGCATAATGGTGTGGTTGTAATTTTTAGAACTTAAATTCAGTGCTTTGATTAAAGCAGGCACTGGTCAGGTTATCTCTTAAGAGGAATTCACTTTTTTATTCCCTTCAAATGTTACATTCTAAATTTTCATCTTTCAAAAATAACAAGAGGGGAATAGAATCAAATTTAATCTTTGTTGTTTAAATGCTTTGACTTTCCACCATTGAAGCCATTTTTCCAGCCTCAGAGACAGAAAATAATGCCTCTACCATTTTCTACCAGGTGACTTAAAAACTGAAGTTTTAGGTTAGAAAGAAGTCACTTAGAGTCAGGGAACTCGTATACCACTATCTATGCAGCATTGTTATGGTCTGGTTATTTCTGTTTTAAATATTATTCTCCTAATGCTTTGAATAAAATTTTGTTAAAAATTAATTTTTCATTTAATGTGCAAACAATTATTGAATGTTTTAGTATATTAAAAGTGATAGTCATTAAACATGCCCATGTGGCCAGGCATGGTGGCTCATGCCTGTAATCCTAGTACCCTGGAAGGCCAAGGCGGGTGGATCGTTTGAGCTCAGGAGTTCGAGACCAACCTGAGCAAGAGTAAGACCCCGTCTCCACCAAAAATAGCAAGAAGCTAATTGGACAGCTAAAAATATATAGAAAAAATTAGCTGGGCATGGTGGCGCATGCCGGTAGTCCCAGCTACTCAGGAGACTGAGGCAGAAGGATAGCTTGAGCCCAGGAGTTTGAGGTTGCTGTGAGGTAGGCTGACACCATGGCACTCTAGCCCGGGCAACAGAGTGAGACTCTTGTCTCAAAACAAAACAAAACAAAAATGCCCATGTTTTAAGAGTTCGTTTGATGGCAGATTGATCTGAAAATTTCCAGTATTTTAAGTATTTATATTAGCATCCAAATGAAATAGTATAGTGTTTCATTACTGTTCTATTCAGAAACAGTATATTAGAAAATACAGTGTTAAAATCATGAGTTTATTATAGGTTCAAAAAACAATTAAAGTTAAAATCACCTTTTAAATTTTTCAGGCACTAGTGAGCAAATTAGCTTTAAAGCATATCTCTTCACTCTGACAAAGCCAAATATAAAAGTATATTGTGCATTCTTTATAAAGTAGTATTAAGATGGTACTAAAAATTACATTAAAAATGACAATCTTATAACTGCAAACCTAACTTTTTACTATATATTTCTTGTGAAAGTACAAACAAGTCTTTGGACTAAAAATGTGATTCGAGCCCATTTGTTAACCAAAAAGTTACAGAATATTCACTTTGATGAATTCTCCTACCCAAACAAACAAAAAGCTATAAATGACTCTTTGGTATGGTATCCTAAATTAAAGCTACCTGTTTTGAAACATTAACTAATGTAACAGATAGTGTGGAAAAGAACTATTACAAGAAAGATAAGATGATTGGTTACTTTTACCTAAAGATTAAAAAATAAATCTGACAATGAGGCTAAGTTACCTATGGCTTTTATTTCACATGTTATATGTAGGAAGGAGTTAGGTGGGATGAAAGGGATTATTTTAGGACAAAATTTTACCATTCCACTAAAAAGAAAGAGGTAACATGGAGATATTGTTCAATATAATTTGACTTAAAATCTGTTTCCTTATATGATACTTTACTAAAACTACAAAATTACTAGCCCCTAAAAACAATTTTACCAAGTATATACTGTTGTATGATAAATTAAGGACCCAAGTTCTTTCTCTCCCTCATGAGTTTTCAGTTATGCTATACTTTCTTTCAAAAATTTGTTTTAGTTTGCTCTGATCTAAACTTACTCCATAGGAAATTTGGATATATCTTTCCATAGAATTCTATCTTGCCCTTAATAAATTCAAAAGTCTATATAACAGACCTTTTTTATAAGATCATTTTTATGACTAGTATTTTCATATATTCTATGCTTTAAAAAAGTACATTGTTAATTGAAATTACAAATTAATTAATACATTTATATTTAATGTATTACTAGGTAGATTTTTGTTTTGAGTAAAATCTTCATTAGAATCTATTTGTAACTATGTTTTATTTGGCCTAAATATATTTGCTGTTTTGGGGTACTGCCTCTTTATATGTATTCTTTCACATCTAGAGCTTAGTCTCTTGAAATAATTGTTCTCCATTACCTTTCTGCAGGTGATGTGATAGTTAATATTATGTATGCCAGAAGAAAATGGTTTAATTTTAAGAATGTGATTTAGATATATTTGACAGTAAATGCCCAAAGGAGTTAGATCTGTCAGTACTTTTGAATGTCTCCTCTATTGGAAATGACTGTCATCTTTTTTTAGTTAGAGGATTACACATCTTGGTATTTTTCATATGCAATTACCCAGAAGAGTGCCTTGCCCAATATAAGAGGCATTTAATAAGTATTTTTGACTGAGTGAATGAATTTTGAATCCTAAGGAGAAATTGGAATAACTTGATTATAAGTTATATTTTCTTTATAATTTTACTTAAATATTATTATTTCAAGATCATCATTACTTTAGTAAAAACTATGACAGAATCAGTAAAAGGAAAACAAAGCTTACATTTGCAGTTAAAGAGTAATATGTGTTAAGATTAGGGAAGGAAGACTTGTTTCAGGACTGGTTTGAAAGAAAACATAGCTGATGTCACCAAAAAATGGCCTTTTGTGGGTTGAGTCCATATCCATCATGACTCCAATGTGATTAAAATTGAGTCATTCATTCATTTCTCATTATATCTAGAAATATTGGAAATTTATCACAAATGGAAATTATTAAAAGTCTGCCTGATGAACGAATTTGGCTGTACGTATCAGTGAATAAGTTGTAAGTTCAGAAAAATAGGCCTATAAACTTAAGCAGGTTAAGGACAAGCTGGGGAAACTATGTATCTCATTTTTAGAGTATCTTCTCTAGTTACTAGTTAACAATATATAGAAATTAAATATAAAACAATAAAATTTAAGCAGTAATTGTTTTGAGTAATTCTATTCTGCTGATAAAGTACATTTATATTTGTTAGGAAATAGTCATTACTATTACAATTATTGCTTAGACCAAAGATGATTCAAAATTGAAAACTGGGCTAACCAGTAAAATGTTCTTTTTTTTAACATCCAATACATAAAAATCATTTGGATTAACTAAAAAAATCAAATTGACTAGTCATCTTATGTGATGGATGACCTCACAATATTTTATAATTTGAATTTTAAATAATTAGAAGTGGGCAATTTTAGTAAACTATTATTATTTGATATAACCTAAAATACATTGATTTATTCCAAATCAAAGATTTTTATCAGTGTGCCAGGAATAAGTAAGTGAGGAACATGGCCTGTCTTCCTAGACAAGCACTGTTTATTCAATGTTAAGTAAATGTTAACCCTTTGCACTCGGATGTCGAGTGTGACTCGATACGGTTAGCAAAAATTATAGAGATTAAAATTACTCTTTGAATGTATCAATAGTTTAAATATAAAAAAATCCAAATAAATAAGTTTGTATGAAAAGAAACTCGTTTTTTATTCTACTGCCATGCTTTGTAAAATCTGGGGTATTTAATAAATTAAATCCCAAGTAGAATAAAGGAATCGAGAAAAAAGCGAGTGCAAAGGGTTAAGTAAAAATATTTTTTCTAAGTTCAAAAATGTTTTTATATTAAAATGTACCAATGTATTAAGAATTTTCATTAATTTTTAATGTTTTTAGCAATTTTCATTTTGTAGTTTGTCATTTGATTTATTCTTGTCACCCCAGAATGCTAATGATTCTTTGGACGGAATATTGGATGATAAAAGGCATTCTATATAGAATGTTTTTTAAAAAGAAATTGTCTGTCTTAGGACTTTGAATGCAAATAGCACAATGAATTTTCACTAAACCATTTTATTTGTATATATGGAATTTCAGATGGATGCAATTTTAATGCAATTTTATAAGAGATATTTCTAGGTTCTTCAGAATCTTTATAATGGCTTTTTGTTCTATACAAGTAGGTATTGGTAAGGAAAATACGGGGTGGGAATTTTCATTTGTAATCCACATCTATGTGCGTTGATTACCCATTCTCTCCTATTTCTCTCCTAATTAGAAGAGATGTTCCTCTTTCTAATACGTAACTTTGGATTCCTTTCCACATAAAACAGCCTATCAATAACAATAAAAATGACAATGGTTTTCACCTATTGAATGTTTACTATTAATATTTTTCTAGGCACTGTGGTAAGGACTTCTATATACATGATTTCATTGAGTCCTCCCAGCTACCTTTTTGGTAGATACACTTTTATGAATGCGGAAACTGAAACAATGAACTTAAGTACTTTTCTTAAATGATAAAGCCTAAGAAACAGGGTTTCAAACTGAGCTCTGATTTTAAACCCTTAACTACCTTCTAACCCTATAAATTTTGTATCTTCAATGTCTCTACTGGCATTTTTTCCCTCAGAATACAATATGAACATTCTCAAGGCTTTTTGGTGTAAAGAAATGCTCCCTCAATCCTACATCAGATTTTTTTGGTTATAGTCAGGTTATTTGAAAGACACTGCATTCTATACTTAGTCTTCAATTTCTCAGCTTCCGTTATATCTTGTATCCATGGCAATCTGAGTCGCACAGAACACTGACAATGTTCCAATTAAATCACCAATGACTTCCATATTATCTTACTTGAGCTCTACAGCATTTATTAACTAATTCCTTTCTCTTATTTTCTCCATTTCCGGCTTCTGTAAAGAACTATTCTTGGTTTTTCTGCTACGTCTCTGAGCACTCCTTAGTATGTTTTGCCAGCCCTTCATTCTCTGTATTTTGGGTTTTTCCGTACTCCTCTGCTCATTCCATCACCTGGTTTTCAATAACCTCATCCATATCTGGGGTTTCAACTATAGTACATTCCACGGGTTACCCTCAAATGTCTGTCTTCAACCTAGACATCTCTGGCACTCGAGGCACGTGTACTCAGTCATGCACAGAACATCTCATAGCTCCTCAAGCTCAACAAGTCCAATTAGAGCCCCACCTTACCTTCCAAATTGCTAAATCCCCTCATATACATGTGAATGGTGGTACCACTGATACTTTATTACTGAAAAATTTGGACTTTATCTGTGACTCTCCCTCTTCCTCATCACCCACATCCCATTGGTCTCCAAGTGCTACCAATTCCAATTCCTATTTATTCAGCTGTCCCCTCATCTCCATTCCCACGACCTTTGCCATATAAAGGCCTTCACATTTTTTCCCCTAGATGCTGTACAGCCTCTTTTTCCCTCCTGTCTCAGGTCTCATTTTGCTTCAATATAACCTCCATATTTTTGTCAGAACAATCTGTATACTCCCTATAGCTTTCACCACAAAGGATAAATTCCTCCTGTTGGCATTCAGGCCTTCCTATATGATTTGCCAGTTT